CTATGGACTACCTTTCTCGAAAGCCCCCTCTATAAGACATCCATTATGCAATCCAATTTCTTCTTTACACTCATTTGCTTAAGATGGACGGTTTTCCCCTTTTTCCATCCAAACAGGTATTTCTACTGTTTTCATGATCCTTTTGCAATCCTCTAGTTACTTATGGCCAAAAGACATCTAACATCGACTTAATCTGAAACTTACAAGTATGTAAGTACTCCCTCCATTTCCTTATACAAGTCAACTTCATATTTTTATGTCTAAGTTTGACCATTAGTTTTACCAACAAATAGTGAGGTATATACCACAAAAAGTATTTCATTGGATGCACATTCCAAAGAACTTTCCGATGATATATTCTGATGACATATAATCCATATTTTGTTGACCAAAATTATAAGTCAAAGTTTGACACGAAAAACAAAGTGGCCTTGTATAAGGGAATGAAGGGAGTAGACTACATACTTAGAAAACCCCTTGCGGTATCATAGTTTCTTTTTGGCTTACAACTCGTAATGTCATAATCCTATTAAAAGAAACAACAAGAGTAGTAAAAATATTGCTTTTCTCCCAATAACGAGACAATTATGTACTTATATATTTATTCACATGTTGATTGCTTTGTATGATCCATCGTCGAGCTCACCACGTGACATATAACATCCTCGTCTTGCAATGTTCCAAATATGTTCGATGATTTGCAGTGTGGCATTCACACAAAATTAAGATCACACGTAGGTCGTTATAGCCATGCAGAACTACCATTGGTATTAATTGAATAACTAAGAGAATATTTTCTTCTCAATTGTAGTATAAATTTATGCTTACATTATTGGCTCCATACTTTATATCCATTTCAATAGTGAGGGGATGAGTTGTTGGTACGACATATACACAACCGGGGCGGCTGATCATAGAGGTTTTTACCCGTCATAGATGGATGTTTAGGCTTTGGATCGATGCTTCTCCAACTTAAAGTTTTCCGTGTCCTTGGTACTTCTTATGTTGTTAGTTTGAGAACTTCATGTTATTTTGTTGTGTGCATCTACTAAGCGGAGGTTACATTCTAAACCCGATTGTGGTTGTATTGACTTGATGCGATGATAATATTAGTGCAAGCTTCCTTTTATCGTGAAACTATCTCATGATGGCGTGAGAGGATCAAGACGAGCGAAATACTAACATATGTACAAATGTAGGATCAAAAGTATGTCTAGAGGGGGGGGTGATTAGACTACTTGACCAAATAAAAATCTAGCCTTTTCCCAATTTTAGTTCTTGGCAGATTTTATCTATCTTAGCACAAGTCAAGCAATCTCCACACAATTCAAGCAAGCATGCAAAAGAGTATATGAGCAGCGGAAAGTAAAGCATGCAACTTGCAAGAATGTAAAGGGAAGGGTTTGGAGGATTCAAACGCAATTGGAGACACGAATGTTTTTGTCATGGTTCCGATAGGTGGTGCTATCGTACATCCACGTTGATGGAGACTTCAACCCACGGAGGGTAACGGTTGCGCGAGTCCACGTAGGGCTCCACCCACGAAGGGTCCACGAAGAAGCAACCTTGTCTATTCCATCACGGCCGTCGCCCACGAAGGACTTGCCTCACTAGCGGTAGATCTTCACGAAGTAGGCGTTCTCCTTGCCCTTACAAACTCCTTGGTTCAACTCCACAATCTTGTCGGAGGCTCCCAAGTGACACCTAGCCAATCTAGGAGACACCACTCTCCAAGAAGTAACAAATGGTGTGTTGATGATGAGCTCCTTGCTCTTGTGCTTCAAATGATAGTCTCCCCAACACTCAACTCTCTCTCACAGGATTTGGATTTGGTGGAAAGAAGATTTGAGTGGAAAGCAACTTGGGGAAGGCTAGAGTTCAAGATTCATATGGCTGGAATGGAATATCTTGACCTCAACACAAGTGTAGGTGGTTCTCTCTCAGAAAATGTGTATTGGAAGTGTAGGTATGTTCTGATGGCTCTCTCCATGAATGAAGAGTGGGTGGAGGGGTATATATAGCCTCCACACAAAATCTAACCGTTACACACAATTTGCTAAACTCGGTGGGACCGAATGGTTAAACTCGGTCGGACCAATTCAGCGAACCTAGTTGTTGGAAATATGCCCTAGAGGCAATAATAAAAGTGTTATTATTATATTTCTTTGTTCATGATAATAGTCTTTTATTCATGCTATAACTGTATTATCCGGAAATCGTAATACACGTGTGAATACATAGACCACAATATGTCCCTAGTGAGCCTCTAGTTGACTAGCTCGTTGTGATCAACAGATAGTCATGGTTTCCTGGCTATGGACATTGGATGTCGTTGATAACGGGATCACATCATTAGGAGAATGATGTGATGGACAAGACCCAATCCTAAGCCTAGCACAAAGATCGTGTAGTTCGTATGCTAAAGCTTTTCTAATGTCAAGTATCTTTTCCTTAGACCATGAGATTGTGCAACTCCCGGATACCGTAGGAATGCTTTGGGTGTACCAAATGTCACAACGTAACTGGGTGGCTATAAAGGTGCATTACAGGTATCTCCGAAAGTGTC